TTGCGAAAAAATTCCGGACTCCACTCGTACGGAAATGGCATTGTCGAGTAGGTGGAAACTTCTCAACAAAGAGATGGCAAAATGGAGAGATGCCTTGGCAAAAGCGATGAATTTGTATAGAAGTGGGGAAAATCGTACTAACGAAGTAAGTATTTTGTAATTTTCGTAATCATTAAGTTTAATGTCCTTATATATATATGTTGTTAATATTTATTGCATTTGAAATATTTTGTTAATATTTCTTGCATTTTCAATATGTTGTTAATATTTATTGCATTTCCACTTGTTTCTTCATATTTCTTGCACTTCCAATTTATTTGTAAGGTTAATTGCATTTCCATTATTTTTATTTTGTTACTTGCATATCCAATATATTTTAAATAGTTATTGCATTTCCATTTTTTTGTTAAATAGCTCATTCAAGCACAGATGTGGTTCGGTGCAACCGGGGGTGGCAAAAAAAAATTCACCCATCATGAATGTTGGGAGGTGGTGAAACACTGTAAACGCTTCAATATTATTCCAACGGGTCCCGACGTTGTGTTAAACGAGACGCCTCTCCGTGATGCAACGACATCGGATTCACCTCTCGATTCCCCTATGAGTGAAGACTCACCCATCCAAAAGGAACCGAGGCCCATTGGCCGAAAGGCTGTGAAGGCAAAGAAAACAGGTAATTCAAGCAATCATAATTCAAAGTTTTTGGAGGAAATTGCAAGGCAAAACGGCATAAGACTTGAATTGGAGCAAAAACGCCAAGAAATGGAGGTGGCAATTCAAGCCGAGTGTGCACGAGAAAAGGAGTATTTGCGCAAAAAAGATATGGAGAAGACGGATCGGGAAACTATGGCGATGGATACAAGCCATATGTCCCCTGATACAAAACAATATTGGAAGCTAGAACGAAGGGATGTTATGAGAAGAAGACTTTTCCAGGATGATGGGCCTAGCAACACGGATTGGTTAAATGATCAAAACCATTAAATTAGTTGGCATACCTTTTATGTATTTTTAATTTTCTTGTTTTCTATTAAAGTTGGTGTACTTCATGTTTTTTATTTTAGTAGTAGTAATTCTTAATGACTTGTATTGGATTTCTTTATTTAATAAACAAAGC